TTTCTGGAAGCTCCCTGTCAATGTACTGCTGCAACTGTTTTTGAATTATCTTCAGTAAGATTTTACTTGCATGTGATATGAATGATATTGTTCAATAATTTCCACATTCTGTGGCATCACCTTTCTTTGGAATGGATACAAATATGGATCTCTTCCAGTCAGTTGGCCAGGTAGCTGTCTTCCAAATCTCTGGGCATAACTGAATGAGTACATCCAGCAGGGCATCTGTTTGTTGAAACATCCCAGTGGGCATTCCATCAATTCCTGGAGCCTTGTTCTTTGGGAATTCCTTCAGTGCAGCTTTGACTTTTTCCTTCAATACCATTGGTTATTATTGATCATATGCCACCTCCTGGAATGGATGAACATTGACCAGGTCGTTTTGGTACAGGCACTCTGTGTATTCCTTCCATCTTCATTTGATGCTTTCTGCATCATTCAATATTTTGCCCATAGAATCTTTCAATATTGCAACTTGAGGTTTAGTTTTTTTCCTCAGTTCTTTCAGCTTGAGAAATGGTGAATGTGTTTCCTTTTGCTTTTCTAACTCCAGGCTTTGCACATTTCATATAGTAATTGGCTTTGTCTTCTCAAGCTGCTCTTTGAAATCTTCTGTTCAGCTTTTTTATCTTGTCATTTCTTGCATTTGCGTTAGCTACTCTCTGCTCAAGGGCAAGTTTCAGAGTCTCTTCTGACATCCATTTTGGTTTATTCTTTCTTTCTTTCTCATTTTTTAAATGACCTTTAGCTTTCTTCATGGATGATGTTTTTGATGTCATCTGGTAATTCTTCTGGTTTTCAGTCACTGATGTTCAATACATCAAATCTATTCTTTAGATGGTTTCTAAATTCAGGAGAGATATGTTCCAGGTCATATTTTGGCTCTTGTGGACTTGTTTTAATTGTCTTTAACTTCAACTTGAATGTGCATATGAGCAGTTGATGGTCTGTTCCACAATCAGCGCATGGCATTATTTGGCTAAAAATATTGAGCTTTTCCATCACCTCTTGCCACATATGTAGTCTATGATTCCTATGTATTCCATCTGGTGAAGTCCACATGTTTGTGTTGCTGAAAAAACGTATTTCCAGTGAGTAAGTCATCGGTTTTGAAAAATTTTATCATGCAATCTCCAGCATTATTTCTGTCTCCAAGGCCAAATTTCCAACTACCAGTGATTCGTCTTTGCTTCCAACTTTAGCATCTCAGTCACCAGTGGTAATTAACACATCTTGATTGCATGTTTGGTCAATCTCAGACTGTAGAAGTTGATAAAAATCTTCAATTTCCTCATCTTTGGCTTTGGTGATTGGTATGTAAATTTGAATAGTAGTAGCATTAACTGGTCTTCCTTGTAGATGTATGGATATTATCCCATCACTGACAGCATTGTACTTCAGGACAGATCTTGAAACATCCTTTGTGATGATTAATGTCATGCCATTCCTCTTCAAATTGTCATTCACGGCATAGTAGATCGTATGGTTGTCTGATTCAAAATGCCATGCCCAAAACCAGTCCATTTCAGCTATTTCCTAGAATATCAATCTTTATGCATTCCATTTCATTTTTGAAAACTTCCAATTTTCCTAGATTTATACTTTGTACATTCCATTTTCCTATTATTGTTTTTAGGTGTTTCTATTTGAGTTGTGCCATGTCAGCAAATTGAGGTCCCAAAAGCTTTACTTTATCCATATCATTAAGGTTGGTTCTACTCTGATGAGGCAGCTCTTCCCCAGTCATATTTTGAGAGCTTTGAGAGCCTCCTGACCTAAGGGGCTCGTTCTCCTGCACTGTATAGGAAAGTGTTTCCAGGGTATGTTACACAGTAACGTATCACACAGTAGTTCTCTGCTATTCATAAGATTTTCCCTGGCCAATTCTTTTAGCAGTGGATGGCCTCTTCCTTATTCCTAGTCTGTCTCAGTCTGTAAGCTACATTGAAACCTGTGCACCAGGTGCAACCGTGGTGTTTGAAACACCGGTGGCAGAGTCTCAAGCCTCACAGCAACATGCAAACCACCACAGTATGACAAACTGACAAATTTGTTTCCCTTAGCTATTCAAAACCTCTCCACCCTCCCCTTACCTGGATTCTTTTGCTCTGTTATCCCCGGCTTGCCCCACCCCCCGGGTTTTCTGCCTCTTGTGGTAGGGCCTGTGTCCCTCCCTTTACCTGGATCCCACTGCTGTTGTTGCCAGCTTTTCTCCTGCTTCCTGCCTCTTGGGGGTGGGGCCTTTGTCTGTCCCCTTATCTGGATCTGGCCACTCTGTATTCTTTAGTATTTAACTTAAAAGGTGTGTATGTCATGCAGCCCTGCCATTCTGCTTCCTATGTAGCTAAAAATGATCGCTTTAAAAGGTTGGAGATCAAAGATAACACTTTGAAGCCATAATATTTTTAATCGCTTCATGTGCATGTGAAAGCTAGGCAATGAATAAGGAAGACTGGAGAAGAATCAATGCCTTTGAATTGTGGTGTTGGTGAAGATACGGAAAATACCATGGACTGCCAGAAGAATGAACAAATCTGTTCGGGAAGAAGTGCAGGTGGAATGCTCCTTAGAAGTGTCTCACCTACTTTGGTCATGTGCTCAGAAGGGACCAGTCCCTGGAGAAGGATATCATGCTTGGTAAAGTGGAGGGTCAACAAGATGGACTGATACAGTGGCTGCAACGATGGGCTCAAGCGCAGCAGGGATTGTGAGGATGATGCAGGACTGGACAGTGTTTTGTTCTGTTGTACATGAGGTCACGATGAGTCAGAACCGATTTGATGGCACCTAACAAAAACCTTATGAGCTTTTAGTTCTAATACACAAAACCAAAACCAAAACCAAAAAACCAAACTCACTGTCATTGAGTTGGATCTGACTCATATCAACCCCTCGCTGGTTTCCAAGGCAGTATCTCTATGGAAGTAGATTGCCCAATTTTCCTTCCGAGGAGTGGCTGGTGGGTTTGAACCACCAGCAGTATCTGGTAAATGGCAACAGAGTCAGCTAGTGACATCATCACCACAAGGTCTGTTTCATTCAGAATTCTATCACATTGGATCTTTAGGTTTGTTCTTTAATGTGATCTACCATAGGAAAGAAGAACATTAGAAAACAGTCTTAAATGCTGCTCGAGAACTGTAATAATAAAAAACACATTTTCCAGACAAATAAAAAGTACTTTATTGACCTCTAATCTTACCACGAAATGCCTATCTGAAATAATTACAAAATGGTTTTTTTTACACACATTTGGCATCATCCTGATATGATGATCCTTTCACAGAAAGGATTATTTACAGTTTATATAGATAATAAAGCTCATTGTTGCAAATACAAATGTAAAAGTGTAGAGGCAATATATATCAAGTTGGTATGCTGGCTAGCAATGGATATGTAACAAAGGCAGAATAAATAACAGCTTTATATGTTTCTTTTCTTTTATTTTTTAAAACAATTTCCAAATACAAAAATGTAGATTATTCAAAATGGATTTTCATATACATATATATATATAATTCTGCTGCAAACAATGGATCAAAAAACACAACTGTTCTTTAGCATATTTCATTTTGAAAACCCACAAAACTTCATAAATCCAATTAGAAGTGGGTGTGCAAAGCCACCAACAATGCTGGTGAAATCCTGAAGGCCTGATTCTGGCTAAAATACAGAGAAAGTATGAAGCGCTACTTGCTTAACTAAATTTTTTTTTTTTTTTTTTTGCCTGTGTTTGCAAGAAAAACTACGAGCTAAAGAAATGCACCACATTATGACCTGGGCCCTTTAGAATTCAACCTTTACCAGGATTCGTCATTTAACCATTGTAAGAAATGGATTATTTAATGACTTATAAGTAAAATAGTCATTAGATGATCCTTTCATACTTTTACCCTTTTATACAGAAACTGAGATACTTTCATACATTCTGATATCTGAAACTTTGGTTCTTTTAAAGCATTTGATAAAAGCAAAATGATTTCAGGGCTACAGAACTCTACAGAACCTTTTTTTTTTTTTTCTTTTAAAGTCAGGCTAAGCTAATCTGACAAGGATTTGTTGCATACACACAGACTGTGCCACGTACAGGCATACGAGGGGCAGCACAGGTGGAGTACGTTTTGTGTTCACTCTCTGTTCTATAATACTGACTCCCATCCAAAGGTAACACTGCTTACGTTCTGCTGTACCCTAAATCTATTTCTTTGTTACCTGAAAACATAATTTTCTATAAAAATATGACTGTTTATTTAGAAAATAATATAGTTTTTTTTAATAAAACCTGGCAGATAGAAAAAATGGTGTATCAAAATATGGTAAACAAATGTAAAATACGAAATCATCAAAAATATCTCATAGAAAGACATTGTGCTATGAAGTCCTCTCCTGATGTATGAATGAAGTGTGAATTATTTTTACTTACATCAAAAGGTTAATAAATTCTATCTTGATTTCATTATATATCATTAACAGCAGCACAGCAGTAAGTGACTTAAAAATGACCCTTTCTGATATATTAACATTTCCTGTATACTTTTACTTCAAAATTAATAAACAACAGACAAACAAACACACACTCTGGATCACTGGTTTTCAATCTTGTTACATCATAGATCCATTTGGAGAATTTAAAAGAAAAGTCAATTCCACCTGGGTCTCACCACCGGAGACTGTTTTAATTGGTCTGGGATGGGACCCAGGCATTGGTATTTTTTTTCAAAGCTCCCCAAGGAATTCTATTAAGAACAGGGCTGAGAATAATACCAAAAGACACATGAGCAAACAGTTGTTCTTAACTCAACATGTATCAGCTGATTGTCTGTAGGCATCATAGACATCATATCATTCATTCAATGATGTATCCTAAGTATTAAAAAAGCGAGACTATGTATACAAGACAGTCATGGAAGCCAGAATGAAGAGTTTAAGCTCTGAGCACATATAAACACACATGATTTATGTATTTGTATATGTATAACATATGCCTATAGTTAGGGTACTTTGGTTGAGCAGAAACTAGTATCACCATAATTTGTTATTGATAAAACAAAAACAAAAACACATCACTACTAAGCAGAAACATCTTCTAATATATCTCCAAACTTTTAACATAAACTAGTTTTGTAAACTCCACAAAATGCATTATGATGTGAACACAGTTGACTGTTACTTGGATGAGGAAATCAACTGAGTCCTTGAGCTTTCTGGAAGAGCAAAGTGGAGTATATGGCACTGACCAGGCGTGAAGGAGTCACAAGGCATCAAAGCATGCATAGTCTTCTGGTTATTGCTTAATTCATGTCCTCTGGATTCTGGACTGAAGCTTCAGGTACATACATATCTTTGGCTTTCTAGAACCACATGATTTTGACCACCTCATTAGTGTTCACTTCGGGACAGCCCCAGTGAGGCAATAATGGCTATATAACTAGGCAATGTTCTCTCTGTTCAAAGAACAGAGACCCTTCCCTCTCCTCCCTCAAACCATAAGCATTTCACAAGGGACTGGGAAAAAAACTTACAAGCAAACAAAAAATCTAAAACATCTTTCACGTGATGAACAATGTGATGTTAAGCATAACTGATCTGAAAAACAAACCATGAACACACACACCACTGTCCAAAATTCTGAAGGCTTGGTAAACAGTAGAGCATTTGTTTGTGTTGCTGCACATTCTTTGTAGTTATTTTACCTCTGCATAATACTTAAAGTGCAATTGTCCCAAGGCTTTTATTTCCATCACAAATATAAAGAGTTATGTTTGGGATGAAGAAAATATGGCATGAGTAATGGTTATAGAAAGAAACCATGGCTTACACAGCCTCTAGCAAACAGCAGGCTGCCTGTATGGCTGTATGCAGAAGGCCTTTATACAACAAACTCCGGAACTTCGTCATGAGTGAGATCCAGAGAGAAGTACTTGCTGGTTCTTTTGACTGGAAAAGTGTCTTGGATGTTGATGCACTGTTGAGCTAAGCAGCTGTTGCAGTAGAGGCCTTCCTCATCCAGTTCATGGCCACATCCAAAAGTGTAACTCTGAGCCGTGTCCTGACACAGGCCTGCGATGCGTAAGAAGTCTTTTTGGTAAAGTCTGATGTCATCAAGGCTTAAGCTGTGTCGATCGGTGGAGGTCTTTGGTTTTCGACATATGGTCTGCAAAATAAGGGACGGTTAAAATGACTTTAAGAGCATAGGTTAACGCAAAAGGTTAACACTATTTGCTGCAGATGAGGCAACTGCAAAGCCATAAAAGGTTAAAGAATCCTTATATATAATGACAGGTGGTTTCCAATCTGTGTTTCCTGGGCCCCTAAGGGCCTGTGGGCAAAATATCAATACCATCACCACTGGTAATAACAGCAGCTTACATTCATTGCACATTTATATGTGCCAGGTCCTGATCGAAATGCTCCACATGTATTAACTTATTTCACCTCACAGTTCTTTCTAAAGGCAGGTGCTATTATTCTCCCCATTTTACAGATAAATAACCCAAGGCACGGTTAGGAAATGTAACAGGAATGCCACTATCTCTACCCAACCCAACTCACTGTCATCGAGTCGGATCCAACTCACAACAACCCCTCCTTGGGTTTCTGAGGCAGTATCACTACGGGAGTAGACTGCTCAACCTTCCTTCCGAGGAGTAGCTGGTGGGTTTGAAATGCCAGCTTAGAATCTTGGAAATCAAACAACTACCTTAAAGTAGTATAGTTTTAAATACTGTTTCTTCGTTTTTCACTGTTGTTGTTGTTATGTGCTGTCGAGTCAGACTCGACTCATAGCGACCCCTCCTTGGGTTTCCGAGGTGGTATCACTACGGAAGTAGATTACCCCAACCTTCCTTCTGAGGAGTAGCTGCTGGGTTTGAACCACCAGCCTTCTGGTTAGTAGTCAAGTGCCTTAGTCACTATGCTACCAGTGTGGCAATACTCTCAAGGCTGAAGTCTCATTATTCTTTTAGTAAGAAAAGACAACAATTACTCAAGAAACAGTATGTAGAAGAACTGTTGTTTTAAAAGCCAGTATCCTTGGACAGAAAGATAATATAAAGTGCTGAGAAGGTTGGGAGGCAAGCACCAGGACTAGGCGGCAGTGCCTGTATACTGAAAGAGGGGGTGTTCTGCCAAATGCTTTAACGGCAGGTAATAGGTTTTTGGAACTCATCATCCCAAGAGGTGGTACTGGCTGGAACTACAAAAAGGTTTAAAAAATGGTTCCGACTTGACGGCACATAACAACAACAACAACAACAACAATTATATGCATGGTAGATATTTGATAGGTTATTTCAGGAAACTAGGCATCATACTCATTTAATAGGCATCACAAAGAACATCCTGTTAGAAAACAGTATCACTTTTGCTAGAAGCAAAAGTATCAGGGAAAGAGATTGAGGTCTGGGCCAAATGTCAATTTTAAAATCAAACATTATACTAGAAGTCCTTCTGGTAAAGTTTACACATCTGAGCAGCCCTTGCAAATGATGAACCCTGGTACTTGTGCCGTCTTCCCAGGCTCCCACAGGATTTCATACAGAGCATTCATTTGATCATCACTGTAAACCCACAAGGCAGGCAAACGAAATCACCAAAAAAAAAAAACAAAACAAAAAACAAAACTCACTGCCATAGAGTCAACTCTGACTCACAGCGACCCCTCCTTGGGTTTTTGAGGCAACAATCTACAGAAGTAGATTGCCCAACTTTCCTTCCTAGGAGTGGCTAGTGGATTTGAACTGCTAGCCTTCTGGTTAGCAGTCAAATGCCTTAGGCACTATGCCACCAGAGCTCCCAGGCACACGGATATTCTACACATTTAGTAAGCAAGGAATCTTGTGCTGAGCTGTGGCCATGAACACTCATGCAAAGCATGAGTGAACAGCGAGAGCAGAGCCGGGATGCGAACCAGGCAGTGTGACCCTGAAGCTCGTGCTTCTAACCATCATGGTACACCTTCTGCCCTCAACATTACTCACTGGAGTTTTCAGGAGAATAATAAAGAATAAGACTTCCTGTTTGCATTATGGATGGCTATTAAATGGAAGAAAGCGAAATAAAGAACAAATGAGATAAAAAGGGAAGGAAGAAGGGGGAAGGAATGAGGGACAAAGAAAAAGGCAGAACACATGAGAAATAAAGCAATTAAAGAGAAAACACAAACGAAGGGGGAACAAAGACACAGAGTTGACCAAACAGTTTTGATTATCCTGGAATCCAGTTATCTGGGTTCATGGAATTGGGGTGACCCACGCAGGCGATCTGCCCTTAGGTGTTCTTTTGAACCTGGAACCTTTAAGGAACTGTTTGCTTAAAGTCACCTTCAAGTCAAATAATTGCCTAGTAAGCAGCTTAGGGGAGATAGTTTTGCCTTAGGCATTCTCTTTTAGAGAATTATCTATGTTCAGCCAGTTTCCAGGAGCAGAACCCCCTGTAAGACTGGAAAATGTATGGCTTGTCCTTAGTGACCCATTCTTCTATCAGCAACAATCCTACACATGTTCTGATGCCATCTCCTGCAAAATGAACATAACAATGACCTATATAACCAGCTTTCACTGCCTATCTTCTAAGCCCTTCCTCACACATTCCGTTAATGCTGTCCAATTCAAATCATATCTACTCACAATAAATATAGTCCATTACACTAATTTTTGGTGTTTCTAAGCATTTATGTTTTTGACAGAGCCAAAGAAAGATACACAAGGAAGGAGAAAGAGAGCTCAGAAAATAGAGGTGAGTATCAGTTGTGAATTATATTTAAATGCTAAAACCATGAGTTTCAAACATTTTGTCTACTATCTTTTGATATTTTGATAGTTTAACCAGTGATCACAAGTTATCAAATGCTCTAGCTTAGCATACTTTGAAAACTCAATCTGAACAGAATAACTAGAGTGTAGTAACATTTCTGTCAGAACACCTCTGACAAGAGAATTACTCTCCTAGGTTGTTGAGGTCAATCAACAAAAAATACAGTAAACCTGAAGCCCAAAGATCAGAGGTCTCTTACCTTTATAAAGTATGAAACAAAGTATGTAACTTATGCAAATTAAAATAAACTCAAAGATAATTTAAACTAGCAAATAAATTGGAAATAAATTCAGAATAAAACTAGATTATTTATATGTAGTAAAAATGATTTCTCCTTAGGGTTTTCGATTTTTCATCTCTGTTACACACTCACTCACTCTCTCTCTCACACACACACACTCTCTCACACACACCAGTTCCTACAGAAAAATTTCAACTTTCAATACCTGTGGAAGAGAATCAGTACTCTGGCCACGAAGTTTGACCACTGTTTCTGAGGAGCTAGAAGTGGAAGAACCGATTTCTTTTACAATCAATCCTGATGAGAAAAAAGCAATGAAGACTTTAAATTAATTCACCCCTCTTGCCACAGACTCTATCATATTCTAACATATACCACAACAAAAAGTGAAAGACCAAATATTAACCATTACTGAAACATCTCACTGTGATTCTTTGGTGGTAGACAACTAGGACAGACTCATCCTCTCTCTTGTCTTACAGTAAGTAGAGGGGATGGGGTAAATATGGGGTTCAAGTATAGGAGGGAATTTAGAGACTGAAATTTCCATATAAACTTCTAATCAAGCTGTTTATGATGAAGTTAGTAATAAAAACAGACTGTACAGATGTATAGCAGTCTTTTTAGCATACATCATAAAGCTCTCCCACTATTTTCCACATAACAGTAATTTTGAACTTAACTCCTCTTGAGCAATAATTTAGCCTTCTAAGTTTGGTTCCACTTGGACATGTGCTGCTTAATTGTAGGGGCTCTGGTCTCTGGAGTCAGACTGGTCAGGAACCTGGCCCAGATGAGTAATTAGCTGTGTGCCCTGGCTGGCTACTTAACCTCCCCAGTTTCAGTCTCCTCCTCTATAAAATGGGGCTAATAACAGCATCTATCCAATAGAGCCTGACAAGTAAATGACAAAGAGCGAAGGCATGAAAAAAGCTAAGTACAGGGCCTGCACACTCAGTTCACGGGAATCCTTCTTGGCTGATGGGTCTGTAGAACACTCTCCTGCAGAATATCCCACTGGTAAGAGACTAAAATGGGAGGCCACAGTGAACATTCAGTTCTGGACCTCTGAGACCAACAGAGCCTTCAATCACCCCATGCTCAGGGGAAACCGGCAAATTTTTTAAAAACAGGTATCTAGACTGACACTTCCCTAAATCAATGTAGCATGTGAGTGATGTGCAGAAAAAAGTGTTTCAGAGGGTAAAATAACTAACAAGAATTGGAGATGTAAAGTGAAATTAAAATTTTTCTTGCAAATAGGTGAAGCAAGTGAGTAGGTCAAGCCTCAGAGCCATATGGCCAAATGACTTCTGAAGAAAAGTACATTCCTATCTGTGGTAGTTCAGTTTGTGTGTCAACTTGGCTGGGCCTGGTTGAGTGGCTGGGCAGCTGGATGTAGTATTCCCCATGATGAGACTGGTTATCAACTCCATGGTAGAATCTACTGTGAGCAACTGAGTAGCTGCCTTAGGGATGTGGTCTGCTTCCTGTATATAAACAGAAACCTAGAGGAATGGTCTCTAGCTTACGGCACGCTTGAAGCCTGTATGTAGTCATGTCGTTGTTCGGCAGCCTCCCATGCTCTGGCGACCTTGGGACTTTCAATGGACTTGAATTAATGGCCTGCCATGTGGTTTGGTAACATCAAACTGACTGTGCCTTTTTACTTGTCAACCTTGGGCTTGTCAGCGTCAGTAGCCAGCAGCTGAGTGAAGAAAACACTCTAGCTTCAGTGGGCTGGGAGCAGGAGGTGGAGCTGAATGAAGCTCAAGGTTGAGGGGCTTTCACTCAGCCCCTAGAGCCTGGCACTTTGAACTTAAGACTTAAAGCCTCCAAAACGTAAGAGAATAAACTCCTGTTTGTTCAAGCCATCCCATTTGTGGTATGTTCCTGTTAGAGCAGCACTAGGTAACCAGAAGACTATCTTAGAAAAAGAACCTTAATTAATGTGATTTTTATTTAGTCTACTACTACTAACCTACAGAAATGACTTTCTGTGTTTTATCCCTTAAATCTAAAACATCTCATGATGATTCATTATCTAGCACATGTCTTGCATATATTAAGTGCTGAATAGTTAGGTCAACTGAAACATGAAATATGAAGACAATCCTGGTTTTCATGGAGGTAAAAGCTCTCCATGAAAACTCTTAGTGATGCTCATGTTTTAGGGATTGGTACAAACTGCTTTAGCAGAAGGTCTCTCTCTATAAAGACCCTTATCTTTTAAGAAAATGTTAAAATTTAGCATAAATCTGCATAGAAACATGTGGACTTGTGTATTGGCTGGCAGTGGGATTTCCTGGTAAATGTGCCCTTGGCTAACATGCCCACTAATAATCTGCTCCAAAATAGATCCACTACTAAAAAAACTAGAAAATCAAAAAACCAAACCCACTGCCAATGAGTCGATTCTGACTCATTGCAACCCCCACTGCTTTCCAAGGTTATAAATCTTTTTGGAAATAGATTGCCTCACCTCCCTCCCGCAGAGTAGCTGGTGCGTTTGAACCACTGACCTTCTGGTTAGCAGCCAGATGTCTTATTCATTATGCCACCAGAGCTTTTACCACTAGTACTAATTCTTGTGCTCACAAAACTGAACTGAGTCCTATCAAACCTCAACATGAATGATGGATACAGTGGAATATTTCATCACCAGTCAATTTCAACTCAATGTTTTATCTTAAAAACAAAGTTTAACTGCACAAATTGTAGAGAATTTAGAAAACCAGGAAGATGAAAGGAAGAAAATAAAATCATGTATATGCATATCATCCAGAGAAAATGTTATTAATATTTTCATACATGTAAAAAAAATTTTATTTTATAATTTGAAATCATACTGTTTATACAATTTGTACTGTTTTCCTCACTTATCTTTTCTGATGTTTTCAAATATTTTTTGAAAAATCTCAAAATTTAATGGCTATATAATATTCCACTTTATAAACAGAGTATAATTTAATTGCTCATTGATAAACCATTTAGGTTTTTTTTAATTTTTTGCTACTATAAATAATATTTCAGTAAATATTCTCTTGTATATAAATCTTTTAACATGGCCATCCTACTTGATTTTTTTAAAATTTAAATTTCCAACATTAACAACCCTCATCATAAAACATTAAACAAAGAAATATATGAATGAAAAGTAAAAGTGCTTCCCTCATGAAGCTCTTCCCACAGGCACTTTGGTTTATGTTGTTTTAAACAGTTTTATTTCAAATCACAAACATGTATACATAGAGACACTCATGCATATATAATGTGCATATAACTGTGAGTTTATATTTCATGTATATTAAAACATACTTATGAAAAGTCAATATAACAAAGCAAATGGGCACAAAAGGACAAAGCTTGGTGTAAGAACTCTAAGTGTGTCTATAGCAAACAGCCTAATGGTCTGTGCTGGCTAGACAGTAATTCCCTGTAACCATCAGTAGGCTTGCTCCTAGTACAGCATCTGGAGGCCATGGTTCTACTAGCTTAGCAAACAGAATTCTGCAATAAATGGTGCCTCACATTTTTGCAGACAAAGCACCAAAATGACAGAGCCTCTGTTAAGTCTTATACATCTCTGATTCTAAGTACCTGGTACAAGTGAAAGCCTCACTAAGCACCCAAGCAGCGTGTGTCTCACAGAGCAATGCCAGATAACTTTAGTTGTGATAGAGTCTTTCACCCAAAGCTTTAAATGACAGGACAATAAGCACCTAGGCAATTTCTACAGTGCTGGTGCTGAAGGCATATTTCTCTAACAAACAGAAACTAATTCATGACATGTGTTAGAAGTGACTAAGGTTTTTTTTTAATTGTGATTTGGGTGAAGATTTACAGAGCAAATTCACTTTCCATACAGCAGTTCATATACACTTTGTCTCATGACATTGACCACAGTTTACCACAATGCAACAGCTCCCAGCCCACCTCCTCCCCATGGTTACCTCTTCCCAGTGACCATCCCTCCATGGGCTCCTGTCCCCTGAGCTGTCTCCCTGTGCATAAGCAGCCCTTCTTTCTCCCATGATTGTTCTCTCCAAGGAGTGTATCTACTTGAGATAAATGTTCAACTCATATGCCTGTCTTTTGTTTGGCTGGAAACCACAGGTGTGGGTTTGATTCCAGACCCAAAGGGCAGCTAGGGGCCATAGTCTCAGTGGTTCCACCTGGCTCTATAGGACCAGCAAACCTGGTCCCCCCCTTTTTTCCTCCAATGATTTTGAGTTTTGTTCCACATTGTTCTCCTTCTCTATCAAGGATCTCCTACATAGATCCCCTTTCATGTGGATGACAGTGGTAGCCAGGCACCATCTAGTTCTTCTGGTCTCATAGTCACATAGGCTGCAGATCAGATAGTGTACCAGTCACTAGGACTAATTGTTTCCATGAATTTTGGTTTTCTTCATTCTTCTTTGTTCTGGATGAAGAGAGACCTATCATTGCATCTAGATGGCAGCTTGCTAGCTTTTAAGATCCCAGTCGCTACTTGCCAAGGTAGGTGATGGAACAATGTTTTGTGTAGTATGTTATGCCAATTGAGCTTGATGACCCCTGAGATAGAATGACTAAGGTTTAAGAACAAAATCATTAAGCTGCTTTTTTAAAAATGGCAAAAGCTTTCAAATGAAGAAGCTATAAGGAGCACTGGTGGCACAGTGATTAAGCACTCAGGTGCTAATAAAAGGTTGACAGTCCTAACCCACCAGTGGTTCTGCAGCAGAGAGATGCGGCAGTCCGCTTCCATAAAAATTACAGTCTTGGAAACCTTATGGGCAGTAGAATTAGTCAAATATGGAATTTAAGAATATCTTTTTATGTCTACATTATCTGTCACTTTTTCCTTTAGAGTCCTGTATCCATAACAGTATAACTGAAAAACAAACCCATTGCCGTCGAATCAATTCTGACTCATAGCAGCCATGGATAGGGTGGAACTATCCCTTAGGGCCTCCAAGGCTATAAATCTTTATGGAAGCACACTGCCTCATCGTTCTCCCATAGAGTGGCTGGTGGGTTTGAATTGCCGACCTTTTGGTTAACAGCCGAATGCCTTAGCCACTGTGCATCCAGAGCTCCTTCACCATAGTATGCTGTTGTTATCTGTTGTTATGTGCCATTGAGTCAGCCCCGACTCACAGCAACCCTCCTTGGGTTTCCAAGGCGGTATCACTATGGAAGTAGGTTGCCCAACCTTCCTTCCGAGGAGTGGCTGGTGGGTTTGAACTGCCAGCCTTCTGGTTAGCAGTCAAGTGCCTTAGGCACTATGCTACCAGAGCTCCTTCACCATAGTATAGTATAGTTGGGGGAAATCAACTTTAGAGACCTGACTTCTGTTTCTAGCTACGTAATATTTGTCCTTTCTAATCTGTAAAGAGGAGGAGGATGGACTGAAGGGTATTTGAGCCCCTTCCAGATGCATCATACGAGTCTGTGTTGAAGCAAACAAACAAACAAAAAAAAACCATCCTATTATGTAACTACTTTTTGTCCAAAGCATGGGGTAGAAGATGCTAATTCTCTTCCTCCTTCCTTTTCTCTTTCCTCCACAGAAGGCACTTGATACTGTGCTTGACATGGAAAGATTTGTATTCCAGTCCATCTCTAGACTCCACCTTTTCTATTCTCTGGGTACCTGCTTCTCAGTCCAGAATAATCCAATACTAAGGAGAAGAACTTCCCATCAGAACTCACCAGAGTGTCCATTCAGCTTCCGTGACATGAGCATGTCCTCCGTGATATAGATGCACATGTCTGGGCTGACTTCCAGGGAGTCTTCATTCATCTGCTCCAGGTCTCTGGGGTCATCAACCAACATCTCTATTTCTGACATAGATGAAGGAAAAGACATTCAGTGACATGAAGGAAATTGTCACCATACGTAATTCTTCTACCTATACTTTGAGGGAGGCCATGTAACTATATTTGAAAATAAATTTGCTAATGAGACTCTTCAATATGAAAATTGAAGGACAATTGTCAACTAGGTGATACTTGTCCTTTTGTTTCACAAGATTTCTGTTATCCACTTGTCTTCTAAAGCCCATGATTTGCTTATCCCTTATTCTTTAAGAAAGAAGAACCCCTAGTTGGTTGACCCCTACCTAGTTGGCTGCTATGACAAAGGGCAGATTAAGACTGATGGATCAGTTGCCTAATGTCAAAGCACAAACTGTTGGCATAGGCAGAATAAGAGTAGTCTACTAATCTACCCACTTCCCATAGTTGCCTCCTGTTAATAATGCATTTAGTGACTTAATTTGAGATCTAAATGAATTCTGTGGTAACTGAATATACATTCTACAATTTTCCTTAATGAGGTTAGTATTTTTTCCATGAACTTGAATGCTACAGCACTTGTTTGAGACTGAGTAATAACATAAGAGACATATAATTGCTAAGTTTGGCTGATTTAAGCTTATGTCTCATCTCATCTCTTCAACAACAGAGGAAGTTCCTAGCAACCTGGCACTATATATATTTATTATACACTCCATGGTTCTGGTCAGATGGCAGACACTTAAGAAACACTTACTTATTAACCAAATGGTTCAGTCTCAAATTCTCACATTTTTTCTCCCTAGAAGTTGAATATGTTTCCATCATCATCACTGTACTGTACTCTGTTGTCTTAACCATGGCCTTAATTAATTTGGGAATCAGAAATACAGACATGAGGGCTGCAGGACTAACCTGTCCTCCACTCTTTATTAACCCGTCCTTTAGAACTCAGAATCTACAACAACCCAGCCCTGTAGCTACAAAGGATCGACTAGAGGGATGCTTAGTTCACAACACAAGCAACTCTATTAAGTCATTAGGGAAGATGACAAAACACCTCTTCTTCCCTACCACTGCTTCTTAGTTGCAGCTTCCCAGAAAATTCTACAGAGCCAATACTTGAAAAACCTGGATGGGAAAAAGAAGATAGCCAGAGACAGGACAGTGCTGTTAATTGGGAGGGTCTCAGGGGTAGGATACCATCATCCTGCGAGTCTTCCTCCAGTCGGTCCTTGCCACCACTCTCCACTCCTGAGGTGTGGGAGCTGCCATGGCTAGTCATGGAGCTGCAGGTTTTCAGCTTGCGGTGGATGGCACTGCCTGAGTAGCTGTCCTCTGGCCCCGTGTCGCGGGGCTTGGTGTCTGCTTCAATGCCGGAGGTGTGAGAACTGCTGTGACTGGTGGTGGAATGACGAGATAGGCGCTTGTGCTTCATGCTGCCTGCACTGCTCCCACTGGCCCGTGACCGCTTTTCCAGCTGGTCTATATCAAGGTCCAGGTTGTCACTTATGTAAGATTCCCGGTACTGCTTCTTTTCTGTGTATCAAGAAACACAGCTCATCATTATATTCAACAAAGACAGAAGGAACTTTCGGTGAGCTTAAATGAGTTATTAGACCACCAACACCTACAATTTATTATTGAATCTAGTCTTTGGAAAGTAGCAGTAATTTGGATAGGAGACACACTTAGGAAAATTGCAAAGTGAATAGAACAGATTTGAAGGGAATATTTAAACTACTGAAAGACTTCTGAAGCTTCAAACACTGTAGAAGACTGCTACTCAAAGTGTAGTCAGCAGACCACTTCTTGTCTGCAAATTGTTACTGGTCTACAGTGAAATAAGTTCAGTAACTGAGAATAAAGGAGCCCTGGTGGTGCAGTGGTTAAGAACTTGAATACTAACTGAAAGGCTGGTGGTTTGAACTTACCAGCCACTCCAAAGAAGAAAGATTTGGCAGTCTGTTTCTCTTAAACATTACAGCCTTGGAAACCTTATGTGGCAGTTCTACAGGGTCACTATGAGTTGGAAGTGACTGGGAGCAATCGGTTTAATTGAGAATAAATGTTTGTACACTTTTAGAGTAATCTGACACTGCCATACACATGGTTTTGTATTTTGCAGAAGTATCAGTCCATGATATATTAGAATTTAAAAAAGCAAAGCAAAACAAAAACTGGTCCTTCTTCACAGATAATTTCAAAAGCACTGCTATAGACTAATCAATATAATAATGCTAATTATTATTCATTTTAATTATTCATTAACAGTGGTCCATTAATATCTAGCTTAGCTCTAGCTGTTGAGTGCAATTTATAATAAAACTATTCTGAGAATTTCTTACAAAGAAGCCAACGTTTTGAATTTCATTCATGAAGACTATTTTTCCTCCCTAAGTCTGTATTAGTGAGGCTTTATCATCTATTTAGAAAACAATAATCACTACTGGTCTGAGGATTTATCCCCACATGGCTTTTGATTGGTAAAACTGCTCTTGGATTAAACACGTCAGTGCTGCTCTTTAATGCAAAGACGTAATATTGGAAAAGTACCTTTCAACAAATGTTAAACTGAGCAGTACATTAAGGCACAAAGTTACAACTGAGCTTCAGTTGTACAACTAACACAAAAATAGTATTTTTGTGTAACAGATTAGAAATTTAAAACAAAACAACAACAAAAAATAGGTCAGCTTCCTTGTATTTTGATACCAATGAGAAACAATACATTAGAACAATGTTAAACATGAAGAGTGCATTTGGGGAATGTTAAGTTGATATTATTTCAGAAACTGCTAACTAGTAGACTAATTGGGTTCTCAGGGGCCTGTTAATAGATTTAATTATCTTGTTTAAGTGAAACTACTCTTACTCCTGAAGTCTGAATCCAGACCTGGAGTATAATCACCACAAGCTCCCCAGAGAGGGAATGAGCATCAGCAGAGAGAGAAGAAGATATGCTTTCCAGGATGGAAATGCAGAAAGTGCCGAGAGAAAGCTGTGGTACATTTCTGGGCTCCAGCCCACTGATGTCAATTCTAAGGGGTCAGGCTGAAACACAAAGGTGAGTGTGTGTGGCCACACAGAAAGCAGACTGGCAGCAGACATGAGAGCCCAACACACACATGACTGCAACAAAGTGCATCCAGCCACTACCCATCTTTTAGGGAGTAGACTGGGTTCTAGTCATTCCTATTTTCTGAAGGCAACTGAGGTAGAGATGAAGATGGAGAGCTAAAGGAGTTGGCAAAATTCACATACAATTTCTATTCATTGCAGCTTAAAAATAATATCTATTTGGCCCTTGGAAGGACAGAAAGAAATTGAAAAGAAAGAAGTAAAATAAAGTTCTATGTTGGAGATCTAAGACAAATGGGAATTATGGATCCAATACTTTAAAAGCTTTTCTACTGTTTTTAAACAGCCCTTTCACTCACAACTCCCAGAGGGTTCAGACACAATGACAGTTACTCTATTTTCACTAGAAGACAAGTATTCACCAGCCTGTTTTCCACGTAATAAAAGCCTACTGTAAATCATTATTTCCTGCCAACATGTCAGCACAACTTCGATGTTCCACGTGTTGACTTTGAGACCCTTCACAGTGCTATATCATTTAGACTCTTTGCAAACATTTAAAGGATCCCTGGTGGCACGGTGGTTAAACCCTCAGTTGCTAATTAAAAGGTCAGCTTCTGGAACCCACCAGCCATGCTACAGGAGAAAGATGTAGCAATTTTAAAATTTTTAAGATGTACAGCCTTGGAAACTCTATGGGGGCAGTTCTCACATAGGGTCTCTATAAGTTGGATTCAACAACAACAGGTTTGTTTTTTGATTGGCAAATATTTAACAAGCTTCACATCACATAGTTAAAAACCAAGGAAAACTTTTAAATATTACTGAAATTTATTCTAAGAAATGTAAAATGAAACCTGTCATCCCCCTAGTAATCACTGGTGTCATCAGTGCATAACATCACTGTTTGTGTCTTCTTATTCCTTCTGCTGAAAGCCCAGAGACCATAAAATTTTTCATACATTACTTTGGAATACAATGCCATCAATGCAGCCTCTGCCTCTTGACTTATGACCTAAGAATATGTTCCAGCTATTGAATAAAGTTGGGTTTAATTTTTTTTTTTTAAATGACATAAGACATATTTCCCTTTCTTTTTGAAACTCTATGGAAGAATTCTTGGGGTCATTTTCTACTATAAAATGTTAAAAAAATGTTTTAGACAAGGTGACTTTAAATGAAATTTAATTAAGAAAAATAGTGACCCTTCTTATGCTTTTTTTTTTTTTTTCCTAAACTAATGCTAAGAAAGGGCCATTTCTCATTAAAACGATGGAGCCCTCAAGTGTTGGATGAGATAACTGAATTCAGCCCAAGGCTGCCCCAGAGAAACTTGGTTCCAGACTTTCTTCAGTCTTAGAAGTACCCCTAAGTAGAAGAAACTGTTTTCCTTGGATGAAAAAAAGACTTCTCCCCCAAAATTTAACAAGTCACCCAAATAAAAGAAAAAATTCACATTTTTATCATTCCTTCATCCCTCTAATAATCTTGTTGTTAGGTGTCATCGTGACATCTCTGATTTAGAGAGACCCTATGTACAGCAGAATGAAACACTGCCTGATGCTGTGCCAGCCCCACGATCCTTGCTATCCCTGAGCCCATAGTTGCAGCCACTGTGTCAGTCCATCTCATTGAGAGCCTTCCCCTCTTTTGCTGACCCTCCACTTTACCAAGCATGACATCGTTCTCTAGGGAACGGTCCCTTCTCACAACATGACCAAAGTAGGTGAGAAGAAGTCTGGCCATTCTCGCTTCCAAGGAGCATTCCAGCTGCACTTCACCCAGGACAGATTTGTTAGTTCTTTTAGCAGTCCATGGTACTCTCAGCATTCTTTGCCAACATCACAAATCAAAAGCATCGACTCTTCTTCGGTTTTCCTTATTTATTGTCCAGCTCTCACAGGCATACGAGGTAAATGAAAATACCATAGCTTGTGTCAGGTGCACCTTAGTCTTCAAGGAGATACCTTTGCTCTTCAGCACCTGAAAGAGGTCTTTTCCAACAGATTTTCCCAACTCAATACCTCTTTTGACATCTTGATGTTGATTGTAGAACCAAGTAATATGAAATCTTTGACAACTTCAATCTTTTCTCCATTCATTGTGATGCTGCTTATTGGTCCAGTTGTGAGAATTTATTATTATTATTATTGAAGTGTAATCCATACTGCAGACTATAGTCTTCAATCTTCATCAATAAGGGCTTCAAGTCTTCCTCACTTTCAACAAGCAAAGTTGTGTCATCAGCATATGAGAGGCTGTCAATGAGCCTTCCTCCAATCCTGATGCCATGTTCTTCTTCATCTAGTCCAGTGTGGTGGTTAAGGTTGTGTGTCAACTTGGCTGGGCCTGGTTGAGTGGCTGGGCAGTTGGTGGTAGTTATTCCTCATGATGAGACTGGAAATCAGCTCCATGGTGGGATCTACCACAAGCAGCTGAGTAGCTGCTTTAGGGATGTGGTCTGCTTCCCATATATAAGCAGCAGCTTTGGGAATGCTCTCTAGTTTATGGCACACTTGAACCCTGCATATAGTCAAATCTTCATTTTAGTAGCCTGTCATGCTTGACCAATCTTGGGACTTTCAATGGACTTGAATTAATGGCCTGCCATGTGGTTTGGTAACATTGGGACTACGCCTTTTCACTTGTCGACCTTGGGTTTGTCAGCCTCAGCTGTCTCTGTGAAGAAAGCCTCCAGTTTCAGTGGGCCAGGAGCCAGAGGCAGAGATGAAGGTTAAAGGGCTTTCACCCAGTCCCTAGAGCCTAGCACTTTGAACTTGGACTTAAAGCCTCAAAAACTGTAAGAGAATAAACTCCTGTTTGTTAAAGTCATCCCATTTGTGGTATATTTTCTGTTAGAGCAGCACAGAGGTAACCAAAACATCCAGCTTCTTAGATTATTTGCTCAGCATACAGATGGTCAAAGAATACAACCCTGAAGCACTCCCTTCTTGATTTTAAACCATACAGTGTCCCCTTGTTCTGTTTGAACGACAGCCTCCTGGTGAATGTACAGGTTCCTCATGAGTTCAATTAAGTGTCCTGGAATTCCCATTCTTCTCAATGTTATCCATAATTTGTTATGATCCACACAATTGAATGCTTTTGCACAGTCAATAAAACACAAGTAAACATCTTTCTGGTATTCT